CTCTTCCGTTGCTATTATCACTTCTAGTATATTTCTCTCCTAGGTAAAAAGCTGCACTGCAATCCCAAAGGTATTTGGTTTGAATAAACCAGCTGCTCTGCGGGAGGATGTGCAATCTCCTCTCATGAGATTTACTGCCTTGGAAAACCTGATGGAGAGTGAACTATGTGTCGGTGCTGATTTGACAGCAAATAACAGCAACAGCAGACATTTCAGATAGATGCTCTCTGAACAGTTCTGTACTCAAGCTCTAGACTGGCAAACAGCACCTGACAGAGAAGGTGGATGAGAAGTGAGTGGAGCCACTGAGGGGGATCTGTTCTTCACTTATGGGAGACATTTGAGGGTCAGGAACATATCTTTGCTTTTAGTCATCAGAGAGGGACAGTGACGGGCAGTAGTAGAACTAAGCCCCAGAGGAATGGAGGTGGAAAAGAAGGGAGTGGCATGGATACCAAACCCAACCTGTGGACTCTATTCTGATTAACAGCAAGCCTATTAACCCCAATAACAGAGCTGCCATAGGATTTCCAAGGCTGTACATCTATCTCTATGGGAGCAGATTGTCTCCTCTTTCCCCTGTAGAGTGACTGATGGGTTCAAATTGTTAACATCTTGATTGACAGCTGAATGTTTTAACCATGACAGCACCAAGGCGCCTTTGTGTGATGGGCAGGGAAGAGCAGATGACAGGAAGAAGAAGGAAAAGCAGTAACACTATTATTTATTTCAAAGAAAATTCTAGAGGTGAACGTTTCTGGCCAAATCTTTTTGTCACAACAAATAGCCTGTTATGTTTTTGTTTCTAAAAAAACTGTAGCTCATAGAGAGCTCTGTTGCCAATTCAAAGAGTTCACCTCTCTGGCATTTTAAATCCACCAATAGCTTCAGGGCAGAAAGATGGGCAATTGCTTCCTGTAGCATTTACAGCCTCTAAAAACCTGCTGGAGGGTCAGCTATGGGTCAATTTCAACTCAATGGCAATGAGAAAGAGAGTGACAGAAAAACAGAGATAGTTGAACAGCAAATGCATTAGATTTTACTCTTCAGATATGAAAATAAACTTTTATCTACTTCCTCTGAAATTATGGTTTTCACTACTCCTTATCTCTCAGAATAATCCTGTCTCAATACCACCTTTAAAGTGCTCAGCGCACCGGATATGCCAATAACAGCTTGTGCAATCCTGTAATTCATTATCCAAGCTGGGATTCTCTTGAAAAGTACAAGGAGTTTCTGTTTATAATAACCTCAGCATAAACTGTGACAGTGGTCACCCTGGTGCCATTGGCTATGCCCACAGGCCTGTAGAAGGGGCAGGCCCTTCGCAGCCATGTTTTATGCTCACTATCCAGCCTTATAAGGAGCCCTGGTGGCATACAGTACATTACATGCCGGACTTGTAACTGAAATGACAGCAATTTGAACTCACCAATCACTTGGTACCAGCACTTGGGACATCAGGAAATGTACTGCACTGGGCAAATCTTCATCAGGTACTGCCCCAAATTACTGAGGAGCAATGATGTCAGTTTGAGGACTAAGATGTATCTGGTTAAAATCATGTCTTTTCAGTCACTTGCTATACATCTGAGAGCTGAACAATTAGGATAACAGAAGAAGAACTGATATCTTTAAACTATGGTGTTGGAGAAGACTGCTGAATACCCTGTGGACTGCCAAAAGAATAAGCAGATATGTCTTAGAAAAAGTGGAGCCAAAGTGCTCCTTGGAGGCAAAGATGATAAAGCTTTATCTCTTGGGGCATGTTTCTAGGAGAGGTCAGGCCTTGGAGAGGGACATCATGCTTAGAAAAGTGGAGGGTCAGAGAAAGAGAGGAAGACCCTGAACCAGGTAGACTATCACAGTCACTAGAGCAATGGGCTTGAGTGTGTCAGAGATTGTGAGGATGGCACAGGATAGAACAGGGTTCAGTCCTGTTGATCACAGGGTCTCTATGAGTCATCCTAAACTTGATAGTACTTAACAACAACTAACAAAGTCAGTCTATGGACAAACAGAGGCAGTCTGCTTCTCTCAGCCTTGATAGCCCATGACGCATGGCTAGGAGTTAGAATTGATTTGATGGCAGTGAGTGGGTCTGGTTCCTACCTTGTACCCCTGTAGACTGGACCAGTGATGACACCTGCCCTAGGACGACCAATCCAAGTCTTACCAGTGATAGAGAGCAAAGGAAGAAGACAAGCTAGCTCTCACTGTATTATTTCACTCTTGGCTTTCTCTCCATTTCTTAGTTGTTGCTTTCTCCCAACTGATTACATGTTTCCATTTTGTCTTTCCAGCCTGTATCTACTAGTAACCCTGGCAGCATCTCTGTGTTACTTACAATTGCTAGTATTGTTGATGTTAGGTGCTGTCAAGTTGAGTGACCTATAGTGACCCTATGAACAACAAATCTGAAGCCAGTTCCATCCTGTGCCATCCTCACACTTCCTGACAAATTAGAGCCCATTGTAGCAGTCACTACCTCAATCCCTTTGGCTGAAGGTCTGTTCTCATTTGCTGACCTGCCTTTCTGAGCATCAAGTCCCTCTCCAAGGAATAGCTCCTCCTAGTAACATGCCTGAAGTATGTGAGGCAAAACCTTGTCATCTTTGACTCCAAAGAACACTCTGGCTGCACCCTCTCCAAGAAATATTTGTTTGTTCTTTTGGCAGTCCATGGGATGTTCAGTGCTCTTCTCCAACACCACAGCTCAAAGGTATCAGTTTTTCTTCTATCATTCTTATGCATTGTCCAGCTCTGAGATGTATAGCAAGTGATTAGAAAGACCAATTGTCTACAGATTCTTGGTACACAACTCAAAATGAAGAGCTCTGTTGGATGGCTTTGTTGAGATAACTTAAGAATATTGTATCTACAACTGATCATCACTAAGCACCTCTTTTTAAAAAAATTATTTTGATTTATTTACAAAGTTTGAATACATTGTTTTTCACAAAAGATCCTTCCCATTTCCTTCACCTGAACCAACTAAGAGCCTCTTTTGTAAATCCATCTAATATAAAAAGCAACCAACTGGTTTTCAAAGTATTTGTTCTCAGCTGCATCAGCATCACTGGAGAACTTGTCAAACATTAAATCTGTGGGAGGTAGCCCAGCACTACTAAATCGTAAACCCTGGGGCTGGAGGCCCAACAGTTTGTTTTCTTAAGTCCTCTAGGTGATTCTCATCCACAGACATTGGAGAATTACTAGATTGTTGTTGTTGGATGTCATTGAGTTGATTACCACTCACAGTGACCCTGTGAATCATAGATCAGAACCTTGCCCTCATTGCCCCATCTTCACAATCTCTCCCACATTGAGTCTATTGTTACAGTCACCACATCAATCCTTCTGAAGGAGGATCTCCTCCTTGCTCCTCGCCCCCTGCTCACTGTATTAGGTTAAGGATGTCATACACATATTTTAATTCTTGCCTGCTACTTAAAGTGAGCTCAAAACTCATCCTTTGAAAGAAATAGAAGTCTGATTGACAAGAGGTGAGTCCAGAACCTCAGATTCCTGACTCATATTTGAGTGCTCTTTCTACTTCCTGAATAACTGCATACAGAAAATTAATAAAAAGGAACAGAGTGCTTAGAAGTGGATAATGAATGGAGCCACAGCTCTACACTAGTATAGTTAAAGATGAAGTTCCTCTCAGGGCTCTAACCAGGGGCCATTTTTCATGTGAAGCATTGAACTAAATTAAATTAGAAAGGCTGAGTCATTCAATTAAAGAATTTGAAGAAAACATCCAAACTATGCCTGCTCTGTGGAACATCTTATCTGTTCCATGGACGTGGGGAAACAGAAATACAGGACAAGAAGTGGCTGTTGCCTAGTCACACCTCACCCACTTCCGGAACCTTCATTAAAAGATTGGATACCTCAATCTTGTAGTCACTATCCTTCACACATGGTGAGAAATCACACTGAAAATCAGGTGGAGATAATTGTCTTCTGGGATAGGAAAAGGTGAGTCTGACCACTTGGTTTACAAGATCTTAAAAAGGCCTGGAAAGTCTGAAGGACTTTGTCTCATGTCTGAGGACTGACAAACCTCCGTCTTCTTAAAACATTTTAGACGTTAGGGAGGGGCCTCAACTGGAAACGTTCTCTCCCCACGGAGAAGTTTCTGAGGAAAAATGATACATGACAGCAAAGTTTTAAACTTAACTTTTTAAATACAGAGAGGGAGGGGAGGGGGGAAAAAAGACAACTGTTAGCTCAATCCTGTGTTTATCTCCTATATAGTTTTAATTTAAGTAAAAATAACAAGCGTGCATTGCTTTATAATGATGATAATGATAAATGATGAATTGCTTATTCATTTCCAGAATAAATCAGAATCTACTATGTAGATACTGGTAATAAAGAAATGAATGAAACAATGTTCCTCTCCAGTCCTTCCACTTAGTGACAAAGGGTGAGGACAACATAAGGAGAAGCAGTAATAAATCTTTGAGGAATACATGAGAATAAATGAGAGGATGGGGAGTTATGGAGATTGGAAGGACAGGAAAGGCTTCTCTAAGGAGAAAAGTGAGGATGGAATGAGCTGAAGGAGGCAATGTGTCAAGTCAGGGAAAGAGCTGGAGAAAGAACTCTTCGTTTAGACAGAGGGAATGGAGAGAGCGAAGGCCCTGGACCTTAATCAGGGAAGAGGGGAAGCCTTCTTCAACCACAGTGGAGTGAAGGGCTTGCGGAGTGAGGGGAGCAGACCCCTTATTGCTTTGTAAGGTGGTGATAAGGAACAGAGTTTAGAAATCACAGGAAGGCCCAAGTAAGGCAAGTCACACAGTTTGACAAAGAGCTTTTCCGGAGACGTTTCCCTTGTTTGCAGGGAACACACACCTCTCCCATTAAACTAGAGTTGCATTCAGTAGTGGGGAATGTTTTCTCTGGTTCATTTCTCAAGAAAGGGACTTAAAGCAGGAGCAGCTGGTCCTGAGGGAACCGAGCTCATCTCCTCACAGGACTCTGGTGCTCACCTTCTACTGTTAATTCCACTGTCACCTGGCGGGCTCCACTCCCATTGGTGGCTTCACAGGTATATTTTCCTTTGTCCTCCTCATGGACAGTGTGGATGACAAGGCTGAAAGTGCCCCGGATACCACAGTCCACCAGGAAGCGGCCCCCGCTGGTAATGCGTTGCCCATTTCTATGCCACGTCACCTGCGGTTCAGGATAACCTCGGACCTTCAAGGAAAAGAAGAATAGATGAGATCTGTATTCAATGAGATCTTAGTATAGGTCCATTTGTGTGGTGACTGCTTTACATGTATTAAATAATTTTCCCAGCAACCTTCTCTTGATTGCTGTTCAGTCAGAACTGACTCATAGCTGACCCTCCAGTGGGGTTTTGACCACTGAGTCAGAACAGACCCACAGCTGACCATCCAGCAGGTTTTGAGAGGCAGTTAACTACATGGGAGGAGACTGCCCATCTTTGTCCCATACAGCAGCTGATGAAATCGAACTATGTTCCTCTGGAGTGACAGGGGAGGCTATAAATTTCAAGAGAGGGGACTGCCTATCCTTTCCCCACGGAACAGCTGATGGTTTCAAACCACCAGAGAAGCATGGCCCTTTGGGTTAGGAGCACAACTCCTTAAAGCCTGTATCACCAGCACTCCCTTCATAATAATCCTAAAAGTAGGTATCATATTTATTTCTATTTCACAGATGAGACTGAGCAGAGAGTTCTGGTAAATTCCCCAAGGTCTTGAAGAGTGAGTCGGACATAGTGGAGACAGAGCCCACACTGCACAAAAGGACTTGCAATCTTGTTTCTTGCAATCACCAGGGACGCTTTTAAAAAAAAGTGAAATTAAAAAAAAAGTGAAACAAGAGTACTGTCTAATGGTACAACCACTCTGGAAGGCAGTTTGACGCTTCCTCAAAAAGCTGAACATGTGGTATATTCACACAATGGGAATACTACGCTGCCTTGAAAAACAAGGAACTCAGCAATATTATACAAAATGGGTGACCCTGGAGGACATTATGCTGAGTGAAATATCTCAGTCACAAAAGGACAAACATTGCATAGTGTCACTGCTGTAGAATGGGACATCAGGGTTGGGGAAAGAATGAGAAAAACTGGATGAATTATGTATACTGCATTGAAACCGATGAGGGAGAGAACAGTTAAAAAGCAATATATTTTAGGGCATTGTGATTATCATAAGAGTCCAGAATGAAGGTTGCAGAGTGGAGTATACTCAGGGTGGGAGTAGGGGGGAATGGGGGATTGTATATGAATGAAGGAATTTTTCTTTTACTTTTCAAAGAGAAGAACGAACTGGGGGTGGGGATGGGGTGGTCAGGGAGAAAAGTGTAACAATGAATGAATGGAAATCCAAAACCTCTGTAAATGTTCATGGAAATTAATAATAATAATAATAAAAACCCTGAACATAGAAATTCCACATGACTCAGCTATTCCACCACGTGAAATATACCCTGAGAATATGAGAACTGAGGCACAAACGGGGATTTGTACACCAATGTTCATAGCAGCATTGTTCACCATTGCAAGAACATCAAAACAGTCCAAATGTCCTACCACAAACAAAAGAATTGAGAAATTATGGTACATTCACACAGTGGAATACTACGCAGAACGCAGGAGCAATGATTTTGTAAATTATTACCTGACTTGGGAGGGACTGGAGAGAATTACGCTGAGTGAAATCAGTCTCACAAGGATAAATACTGTATAAAACCATTATTGTAGAATGAGTATAAGGATCCAGGAGGGGTGGGAGAGGCTGGAAGCAGAGGGATGTGGATGTGCAGGGTGAGGGGACATTAATCATGATATCATACAATCTGATGGGTGGGTGGGGGGAGTGAAGGAAATGGAAAGAATTTGTGCGTGAAAAGAATGTATTTTAATTTTGTAAATAAACTAGGAGAAAATTTTTTTTAAAACCCCAACAAGACCTGACTAATGTCTAGGCCAACCGTGTTGTTTGTTGTTGTTATACTGATGTTGTGCCATTATGTTGGAACCAACCTATAGCTGGTGCTCCAGCAGGTTTTCAGAGGCAGTAAATCACATGGGAGGGGACTGTCCATCAATCTCCCGCAGAACAGATGGTGGATTCAAATTGTGTGCCTTCGGGATTGCAGTGCAGCTTCTTAACACCAGGCTATCAGCATTTCAGAGGTGAACACTGGAAATGGGGCTTCTAGGTATCATTGGGGATCTTTTGAAAATGCAAATTCTGATTTTATCCATGGAGATTCTACAGTTTAACAAGCTTCCAGGAGCGGATGCTCTTCACACCTGTAACTCATTTTGTGGAGCAAGGTTTTATACTTATGCTGCCCAACCTGGTAGACAAGCACTACCTGTGGAGATCGAGTGCTTTCAACGAGGCTGTCGACACAACTGCTTCTTCTGTCAGTGTGCTTAGGAAATCAACTGCATTGTATATAAAACGTGAGGCATGGGAGCTCTGGTGGCCTAGTGGCAAGAAGCTGCACTGTAATTCCAGAGGTGCACCGTTCAAATCCACCAGATGCTCTACTGGAGAAGGAGGGGCAATTTCCTCCTATACCAGTCAGATCAGATTTGATGGTACACTCACACACACACATACACACACACACATAAAGTGAAATTTTAAAAAATTAAAAAAAACACCTATAAAACGTGAGGCATGTGGAGGGGCTGAGACTATGCCATCTCAACTCCCCCTTTCCTCTACAACATCGATGGAGCAACTTAACTTCTCCTGAGTGTGAATTACACACTGGGTCTCAAAGACTTAGGTGAAAGAAAAATGTGAAATAGCTGTTTACATACAGAAAGAATCTTTTTCTGTGTTAAATAACCTCCTCATTGCTGTTGAGTCAGAACCAACTGACAGCTGATCCTCTAGCAGGATTTCAGGGGCTCTAAATGAAACAGGAGGTGACACCTGTCATCTTCCCATGGCACCTCTGGTGGATTTAAACCATGATAGTGGCGCCACCTTCAGGTCAGCGTCCTAACTCCCTACAGACTACACCACCAGTGCTCCCTTTTAATAGGTCAGATTGAATAAAAAACATTATGAAAGTAGATTTTTACATGTTTTTTGTTACCTTTTTAAATGGTTTGGTGGCCTAGTGGGCAAGGAGTGTGCTGCTGACCAAAGGTGGGGCCTCTCAGGTACTTCGAATCCACCAAGGGCTCTGAGGGAGAGAGATGGATAATCTTATTGTGTAATTTACAGCCTCTGAAAACCCACTGGAGGACCAGCTATGAATCACTTCTGGATAGAGGATCATGGGGCTAGTCTAGGAGTATAGACTTTGAATTGATACATATGGTTTTCATAGTATCTCTAGGTTAGCCCTGCTCTCAACTGTGCCTTACAAATGCTAAGGCACTTTTTAATAATACTTGACTCATCTGAGTTTCAAAGCAACTTTTTCTGAGAGAATATATTTCCCAAGAAGGAAGAAAATGCAGAGAGAAATTCCAATGGAAAAGTTTGTGGTTTTTTTTTTATTTTAGAGAACGTTTCCTAGAGTCCTCAAATACCTGCCCCTTAGCAGGCATGTCAAAACGGACACAACACCACAGCCACACAACCCTGGATCCACCTGATCTCAGAACGGACACATCATCCACAGACACAACCCTGGATCCACCTGATCTCAGAACTGACACATCATCTAACAGACACAACACTTGATACACCTGATCTTAAAACAGACACATCATCTACAGACACAACCCTGGATCCACCTGATCTCAGAATGGACATATCATCTACAGACACAACCTTGGATCCACCTGATCTCAGAACTGACACATCATCTACAGCCACAACCCTGGATACACCTGATCTCAGAACTGACACATCATCTACAGACACACAACTCTGGATACACCTGATCTCAGAATGGACACATCACCACAGCCACACAATTCTGGATACACCTGATCTCAGAACGGACATATCATCTATAGACACAACACTGGATACACATGAACTCAGAATGGACACATCATCTACAGCTACACAACCCTGGATACACCTGATTTCAGAATGGACACCTCTTTGCAGGGGTATGGTCCAGATCAGCTCATTAACACAATGGGATACAGACATGGGATTTCAGCACTATGAAATGCACAGAAGACCTGATGGGAGTCTCCCAAGAAGAAAGTTGTTCGCATTATAAGATGATGACAGCATTAGCTTTAATCCACGTTATCTACTCTAAGACAAAAAAAAAAAATGGACATGATAAGTCAAAGCAAAACTTCACCAGAAGACCAAATAGTGTCTTTATAAAGCAAGCTTCCAATGACTGATGGCAATCAACCTTCCTACATCCTTGAGCTATGTTGGTGAATTAGTTGCTATGCATCAGAGAGCTGGACAATGATTAAGGATGGCAGAAGAATTGATGCCTTTGAACTGTGGTGCTGGAGAAGAGTATTGAATATACCATGTACTGCCAAGAGAAAGAACAGGTCTGTGCTGGAGAGGCGAAACCAAGCTCTTCCTTGGAGGCAAAGATTTTGAAGCTCTGCCTCATGCACTTTGGGCATATTGCCAGGAGGGATCAGTCCTTGGAGAAAGACATTATGCTTGGAAGGGTGGAGGAACAGTGCAGGAAAGGAAACCCCTGGATGAGATGGATTGACACAGTAACTGGGGTAATGGGGGCAGATGTGTTGGAGACCGTGAGATTGGCTCAATAAGGGCAGGGTTCAGAGCTATTGTGCACATAGCAGGCAACTCGATGGTGCATAACAACAACAACAATTCTTTATCAATGATTTGTGGGAAAGGGGAGCTGTATAGCTATGTTCACATCTCCTCCCCATATTAACATGAATACCCAACACAGTTAATTCCGTAAGCAAACTAATAAAGAACTGTGTGGAGAACATCTGTAACTGTGCTCAGTTCCCTGCCCACCCTTAAACCTGTTTCTCAGTTGCCAGAATGCATGTATATTCCTAGAGAAGGAAAGACCATATTACAGTGAAAAATCCCAGAGATGAACAATCCATCTTCGGTTATTCCATCTAGTCCTCCTTCAGTGCCTACTTATGGATCTCACAAGACCTGCCTTCTCACTGCCACTAATTTGCAGTAAAAAAAGGGGGGGAAAATCAATATTTACAGTCTTTTTTAGAATTTCAAGAAATACAGGAATCACTTCCCTAAAAAAAAAAAAATCCA